CCCCCCCCCCCCTCCGGGAAATGACATAGCAAATACATGTAATAATAGTAATGTAGTTGACACAAAGCGCGGGAAAATGTCTGCGAGCGCGTCACGATTGGTTTTGGTTTTTGCTTCTGATAGGATGACAAAGTGGCTCGAGTTTTTTACGCCAGTCGCTTAGTACTGCAAAAATGAAGTAAGGGGTGGACCATTGGATTTTTGAGGACGGGTGGGTGATTTGAAAAACAATATTCTGCAAGCATACTTGTACCAAAAAAACTTCATGCACACGACAATGCCGAAAACAAGTTGACGCATGTTCAGTGAGCCGATACATAGCATGTTACAGGGGACACGCGTCCCGAGAAAAAATTTCCTAGACATGAAAGGGTTATTTAAAAAAAAATGGTGCCCGTACCAAATTAGCCACACACCCCTTCAAAAGTTAAATGGTTAACCCCTAAATGGGAATTACTTGTAACAGTCAGGCGAAAACAACTGGTGTGTCTCTTAGGTGATCATGCGGTTATAAAGTTTGTGGACAGAGAAACTTTACTGAAAGAAAAGCAGCAGCAGTTAGAGGTATTTCGGTTGTTTGCCCTCATTTCTTTTTAATCATATCCTTAATTTTAGTCCTATGAGCATTGATTGTTTAGTTTCTTTTTTGTTTTGTTTCAGGAACAAGAAAAGAAACGAAAACAAAAAGAAGAAGCCAAGAAAAAGCTTGAAGCAGAGAAGGTATCAAACGACGACTTTCATCTTCCTGATAACTTTGGAGCAAGACGCGCTCTTGTTGTGAAGTGACAAATTTGCATTCATTTGTTTTTTGTTTTTTTTTTTGTATTTTCCTTTCTTTTTTAGGCTGCTAAAGAAGCCAAAGCCAGAATTCCTCCATGGGAAATGTTTAAACACGAAACAGACAAGTATTCTAAATTTGATGAGCAGGTCAGAATCATTAAATAAATCCTTTCTCTCTTTCAAACTTAGACAATGAGGTTTGATACGCTTGAGTGTTTTTAACATGCTCAGCATTTCGCCGATCCACTTTCAGAGATGTTGCTGAATTTGTCAGGAAGGTTTCGGTTTTTCAATCAGTTGAAAAATGTTTTTCTGTAGACAATCAAACACTCTGCAAGTTTCCCGAGATAGATGTACCTCACATGTGATCAGATCTATATATAAAACAACTTGCCAAGTATAAACTGTTCCATTCAACCTTCTTTCCACTCTTTTACATAGTACAAAAAGTGACTTGGTAGTCATTTTGTTCTCTTTCTCTTACATAGTTTTCAGCACTTTTTTTTTTTATTTTTTAATACAATTGTTTTTCCAGGGAGTTCCTACTCATGATCAGACTGGGGAGCCACTTAGTGGCAAGCTGATCAAGAAGCTAAAGAAAATGTACCAACAACAAGAAAAACTATACAACACGAGCCAAGCAACAGCGAACGGTTCAACACAAGAGTGAAATAAAAAAAGAAATGATATAATATTAAATACAGTTCAACCCCTATTAAACGGCCACCCTCAGGGAAATGGATAGTATCCGCTTGAAAGGGGGCTGACTGCTTAATGGAGGTAAAAACAGTAGAAAAGCCCTCATCGAGACTTCGATTACTGGCCGCCAAATATGGTTGGCTGTTTAATAGGGGTTCGACTGTAACCACTGAATTTATTTTGTCGCTCTAACTGAATGTGCAATGCAATAAAAAAAATTCTTGACATTTTGCCGTCTTTTTGTAAAAATATCGTTGATTGGTTGCTTGTAAGAAGTTCCCCAACTCATCAACTGACCATCAAAGACCAACCTCGATCCCATGCGCTCTCTCCTTTTCCTTCCTTGTCGCTGAAGAAAGAGATCCTTCTTCCCAATGACAAAGGGTTCCACGGAGAGAGAGCCTGGGATCGAGGTTGGTCAAAGATATGTTCTGGCGCGAAAATCATGACGTCACAAGCGGTACAAGGGCCATGTTGTCTCAGTCCACGTTTAGCACTGTAGMGGTTGAGTTCCAGTCCCAAAGGGTACAGCGCTTGACGTTAACAAGACGAAACTCCAATTTTCTCGGCTTGAAGCGACTTAAAGTATTTTACTACTCTCCTTTTACTGGAATACTCGCAAATCGCTTGGTATTTCACCCGAAATCCCACGCGTGCATTTTGACTGGTTTCCTTTACAGCATACCAGGATACGGTCCCTTTCGGAATCGGCAATGCTGTTAAGTGAAACCTGGAATTTTTTTCACTATCATCCTTTCTTTTACCCCCAAAAAAGATGTATGTCACCCAGAATCGAGTGAAGAACTACAAAATGATTGTAAGAACCTAACTCAGTTGTTTTTTTGTTGTTGTTGTTATTAACACAAGCTGTGATATACATGAATATAGATAAAAGACAATTTCAATAAGCCGTTCCAAGTTGCTGTTACCTCTGTTTCAAAACGAGTCTTGGTACAGAACCTTCCATATGGAAGTGAGTTTTTCTTGCACGTTCATTGTCTTCCAAATCAAACTGATTTCCATTTGAAATGTTGTGCACCAGAAGAGAAGTAGAAGGCAACTCGAAAATGGCTTATTAATTTTGTTTCTTAACCCATTGACACCTGGAGATTTTTGGAAAAAAAAACGCATTTTTTGGACATTTTAGACATTTTTAGACTGAATATGAGCTAAATTAGCTCCAATCTACCCAAAAAGGTATTTGCAACAAGACAGTATGCCTTTCTTTCCACTAGTATCGCGTTTTATGACATTTTTGCTCGGGCATGCGCAGAAATCAAGATTTTGAGAGTTTTTGGATGAGAAAGTGACCTACACCTTTAGGTTTACTGATTTTTTAATTTTTTTTTTCGCCTTTCCTTTTTCTGCTTTTCTTATCTTTTCGCTGCAGTTGTTGACCTACTACTGGGCTTGCTTCGAGTTCAAGAATTCCCGCGAAAGCATCATCGAGACGGGAAATTCTTACCACGTAGTAGCCAAGTGAAGTAGAGGGAAGTTTTCCTCTGAGTTTTTTCACTCAAATTTCTAAGCATTATTGTGTATAGTTCACGCTCAATTGACCCAATCACTCTGATCTGGGTATCATTGGAAAGATCTTTACCTCCTGCAGAACTTGGGTGTAAGTGATGCTAATTCTTATCAAAGATGATGACGTCAGAAGTGGAACGAAGGCCAACCATCATCACGGGCGGTTACCGTCGGCACAGGCGTCAATGGGTTAAATTTTCAGAGAGGTCTAAACATATCACGTGCCTCTTGAAAATTAACAAATATTCCCTTTGCAGTATTTGGGCAAGTGCTTTCCTTAGAATTCCTCTGAAAACACTCCACCAGTTCAATGAAATCGTCACTCTCTTCGAGCCTTTCTGGTTCCGTTTTTCTCAGTTCGTCATCAGTTTTTCGTCTTTCACGCAACTTTCTTGCCTCCTGCAAAATAATACGTAAGTTCAATTAAGATGGAGAAAGAAGAAATGAAGAGCCAAACTATGACAGGAATAATTAGTAATCCTTAGTTGTCCAGCAGAGGCCGGCCAAAAACAACCTGGCGGCGCACAATAGAAAAGGAGAGGTCCAAAGCAGGATGGCAGTCCTGGAGAGAGGTGCGCATTGCAGCGCAGGACAGGAATCGATGGAGAGCACATGTGGAGGCCCTACGCGCCAACTTGGCGCCAGGGGACAGGTGAAGGTGAAGTGAAGTTGTCCAGTATCATTAAATTTAGCCAAAAGAAGATAAAGTGTAATAGAGTTTACCCCTATAAAAGTATTATTATCAAGTTAATCTCAAGCTATTTTTAGATGTGGTATCCAGTCCTCGCGGATGTTACCACGTACGCGTGTTTCGTGGATGGTTTCCGTGTAAAGCTGCTTCGGTTGTCACGTGACCAAATTTGCGCTATACGTTTGGTTATTTCGTGACCCTCTTGGGATTTCTGAAGCTAGGAGTGGTCCAAGACAGCTTGAGAGGATTTTCCCTCGTGCCAAGGGCCATCCTCCCTTGATTTAACGATTCAAACAAACCTTGGAAAGTTTTTCATCCTGAAGGAAGTAGCTGGTCATATAGGGGTTGAAGTAGCCTGCAAGAGAGGCTACGCTGGACTCGGCGTGTAAGAACTGATCACACTTGGCTAACAGCAGAATATCCATCAACACTTGAGTACCAATTTCATATGGGCCAGCGCTATTGTGCTTGAATTCCACAGCATGCGGGGGTATTTGGTCGCGGTATCCTTTCGCCCTGTCTGCCTTGGTGAAAACAACCTGGACACAGAAGAAATTCGCTAATAATGCTTACTATATATTTTCCTTTAAAGTGAAACCCAAATAACTAAGGCCATTCGTTAAGTAAAGTCGTCGTGAAATTTCCTTTATAAGTAAAAACAGTGGATTCAAATGTCAAATTAATATTGAATAAATAATGATTTTAAAGCATTTTTTAATATCTAATTTTTGAAAAAGCTTGAAGCATGTGTCGTTTCAACTTTCCTCTCGGAGTTTGGAAATGCTATGAAACACCATCTCTCGTGTTTGGTATGTTACTTCAAAGCATCATTAAACTCATTAGGCCGGTGATTTGAATCGTGAGCTTAATGCTAAAATTTTAAGCAGTTCGGGTGAAAAGAAACTATCTTTGCCTGGCTTTAATTAAAAACCACGACTGGCTCATTGATGAATCTATATATAGAACTGTCTTATGCCGTTTTCAAGTCTTGGGCCCCCGGTTTACGCATTTCGGAGTCTCGTCGAATTTAACTCAAGTCCCCATCGCTTCGTATATCAGCGCAGTGCTCACACCAACATGCTTCCACGAAGTATTTCATGAAGCATCTCTCATGTGACATCGATATGTTTCAGCCTGTCCGTATTGATGTGTTTTCATTTGAAAATGAATACATTTTTGAATACATTTTTGAATACATACAAGCTGTTTCATACGTAGTATGGACGACCAAAAATGTTGGTATGAATTGGGCTTAGTTTGGCTACAAAAGATACTAATTTATCTTGTCACTGGCTAATTGCAGAGACAAAGGAGTCGTTAATTTCTTCAGTACTTGTCAACTTAGCTGGTAATAAAGACCCTTCCACCTGACTCAGCCTTGAATAGCTGGCCCCCGTAACCAGGTTGGCTAATGAACCGTGTTATATATTTTGAGAAGACGCCCTCACCTATGATACAATTGCTCTAAACTGTTAAAGGGTAAAATTCATTTACATTACTTACAAAATATTTCAGGCGATTTCAATTTTGGGTATAAACGTGTCCTAAAATTAAACCGTCCGAAATTTTTAAGCGTCTGAGATTTTAAGCATCTAAAATATTTACTGTACAGTATAAAACTTAAAGTAGCTCCAAAGCTCTTAGTTCCCTTGCGGAGCAGACTCTAGTTGCTTGAGATGCGTGACGGCTTGTTAAAATTTGTGTTATTTTCTCGTCGGTGTGTCTGTAAAACCTTGAGGGTGCAGTGAAACTATCATTTTTACAGGTATTATTTCAGTCTAATTGGTGTTTTGTATGAATTTACTTTAGTTATGTTTCAGAAAAGTATCCAAAGTTTTGTTCGAAATTTGTCCGAAATGAGATAGAAAGTGACGCCCGAAAATTAAACTTCCGAAATAAAATGTCCGAAATTTTT